GGTAAAAGGCTGGAAGAAGATTCACCAAGCCAATGTTCCCCAAAAACAGGCAGGAGTAGCAATACTTATTTCAGACAAAGTAGACTTCAAACTTACATTGATCAAACAAGATAAAGGAGGACACAATACTAATAACAGGAGAAACACACCAAAAGGAAATAACAATTGTCAACCTATATATACCCAATCTCAGTGCACCCAATTTAATCAAACATACTTTAAAGGATATAAAAGCACATACAAACTCCAATACAGTGGTAGTGGGGGACTATAATACCCCCCCTATCACCAATAGATAGGTCATCCAAACAAAAAGTCAATAAAGAAATTCTAGAACTAAATTATACCATAGATCAAATGGACATAGCTGATATCTATAGAATATTTCATCCAACACCTGCACAATATACATTCTTCTCAGCAGCCATGGAACTTTCTCCAAAATTGATTATATTTTAGGGCACAAAGCAAGCCTCAGCAAATATTAAAAAATGAAATAATCCCGTGCATTCTATCTGATCACAATGCCTTAAAAGTAGAAATCAGCAACAAAAACGAGCAGAAAATACGCATACAATTGGAAGTTGAACAACACATTGCTCAATGATCAGTGGGTCATCACTGAAATAAAAGAGGAAATTAAAAAGTTCCCGGAAGTTAGTGAAAATGAAAACACAACTTACTGGAACCTATGGGACACAGCAAAGGCAGTCCAGAGAGGAAAGTTTCTAGCCATGAGTGCATATATTAAAAGGACAGAAAGATCTCAAATAAATGAACTAACTCCAAGGGAAAAAAAGAACAAGCATAACCCAAAACAAACAGAAGGAGAGAAATAATAAAAGTAAGGGCCAAAATTAATGAAATAGAGACAGAAAAAAACATACAAAGAATCAACAAAACAAAAAGCTTGTTCTTTAAAAAAATAAACAAGATTGACAGACCCCTGGCAAACCTAACTAAAATGAGGAGAGGAAAAAACCCAAATCATTAAAATCAGAAATGCAAAAAGGGAGATAACAACAAACACCATGGAAATCCAGGGATTCGTCAGAGACTACTTTGAGAACCTATGTTCCAAAAATTTGAAAATCTTGAAGAAATGGACAAATTTCTAGATAGTTATGACCATCCAAGATTGAACTAAGAGGATATTAACCACCTAAATAGATCTATAACACGAAATGAAATTGAAGCAGTAATAAAGAGTCTCCCAAAAAAGTAAAGTCCAGGACCTGATGAATTCTCTGCTGAATTCTATCAGACCTTTAAAGAAGATCTACTACCAACTCCTTAAACTTTTCCCTGAAATAGAAAGGGAAGGAATACTGCCTAACTCATTTTACAAAGCCAGTATCACACTCATCCAAAAACCAGACAGAGACGCATCCAAAAAGGAGAACTATGGGCCCGTCTCCTTCACAAACATTGATGCAAAAATCCTCAATAAAATAATGGCAAACCAAATTCAACAACACATCAAAAAAGATCATTCACCACGACCAAGTCGGCTTCATCCCAGGGATGCAGGGGTGGAGTACAAGAAATGTACCTCAACTTATAAAGGCTATATATGACATACCCATAGCCAACATCATACTTAATGGACAAAAACTGAAACCATTTCCCCTAAAATCAGGAATTAGGCCCACTCTCCCCACTCCTATTCAACATAGTCCTGGAATTCCTAGCCAGAACAATTAGGCAAGAAGAAGAAATACAAGGAATTCAAATAGGTAAAGAAACCATCAAAATATCCCTGTTTGCAGACGACATTATCCTATACTCCAAAGACCCAAAAAAATCTACCCCAAAAACTTCTAGACACCATAAACAGTTTCAGCAATGTAGCAGGATACAAAATCAACTTACAAAAATCATTAGCTTTTCTATACACCAACAATGAATGAATTGAGAAAAAATATATGAAAACAATTCTATTTACAATAGCCTCAAAAAAAAAAATCAAATACCTAGGAGTAAACTTAACAAAGGATATGAATGAATTCTACAAGGAGAACTATAAACCTCTGAAGAAAGAGAGAGAGGAAGACCACAGAAGGTGGAAAGATTTTCCGTGCTCTTGGATTGATAGAATCAACATAGTAAAAATGGCTATACTACCAAAAGCAATCTACATTTTCAATTCAATTCCCATCAAAATCCCAATGACATTCATCACAGAGATTGAAAAATCTACCCTAAAGTTCATTTGGAAACACAAAAGACTGTGAATAGCCAAAGTAATACTTGGTAAAAAGAGCAATGCTGGAGGTAGCACAATACCCGACTTCAAACTATATTACAAAGCAATAGCAATTTGGGTTGTAACACACATGTGCATGGAAGCAATGCTAGGAATCTCTCTGTATAGCTATGCTTACCTCAACTACCAAAAACGTTTTGTCTTTCTTATTATTGCTTATGTCTTCTCTTCAACAAAGTTGGAGAAGAGGGCAGAACAGGTTCTGCCTGGAAGTGAGGGGGGGGTCAGGAGGAAAGGGAGAAGGAGGGGGTGTGGGTCAGAGGGGAGAAATGGCACAAACAATGTATGCACATATGAATAAATAAAAAATAAAAGAAAGGTGTGTGTGTGTTGGGGGTGGTTGTTGTGGCTGTTGGCTTTTTGGTAGCACTGGGGTTTGAACTCTGGGCCTAACACCTGCTAGGCAGGCACTCTATCATGTGAACCACTTTGCCAGCACATTTTTGTTGGGTATTTTTGAGATAATGTTCAAGAACTATTTGCCTGGGCTGGCCTCCTGTGTTCTTAGGATTATAGGCATGAGCCACTAGCACCTAGCTATGAAAGTTTTGTTTTGCTTTTTAAAAAAAAACTGTTGAATATTTCTACTACTTACCCATTTTTGTGATTATTGACTTGATTTTTTTGTTTTTATTAGAAACATCTCTATTTAAATGCTTGATTACAGAATAGATAATAAATCATGTTTTAAAATTGTAGAAAGGGCTAGGATGTCGCTTAAATAATAAGGCAGTTGACTAGCATCCTTAAGGCCCTAGGCTCAATTCCTAGTATGGCCAGAAAAAAGAAAAAGAAAAAAACCTTGAAATCAGAGCTTCACTTGTTGCCTCAGTAAATAGGAATCCCTCATATATATTAAATAAATTATACCTTTAATACTCATTTAGGCAGTAAACAAAACATTATCATTATCTTTCCCTTGGGTCCATTATTAAGTAAAACAAAGGTTACTTGAACACAAGCACTGAGATGCCAAAACAGACAGTCTGATAACCAAGATGGCTACTAACTGACTAGTGGGCAGCACATCTCTAGAACCGTTCCATATGGCATGGTTGAAAGTCTACCCACTTGATTCTGCTCCTCCTAACTTCAGTTATAGTTCTTAGTAATCACCTTTCTACTTTCTGTTGTTTTTATGGTTTTTACTACGTTAGATTCTTCATCTGAGTAGATTTATATATCGTCTTTTTAGTGAATGACTTTGTTTTGCTTAGCATAATGTTCTCAAGATTCATCCTTGTTGCATGTGACAGGATTTCCTTCTTTTCTAAAACCTGCATAATATTTCACTACATGTATGTATCCCATTTTCTTTACTGTTCATTTGTTGATGGACATTTGTGTTGTTTGCACTTCTTGGTGTTATGAGTAATCCTCTAAGGAACATGAATATACAAGTATCTCAGAGATCCAACATTGATTTCTTTTGTATATATATATATACCAAGAAGTAGAATTGCTTGATCATATATTAGTTGTTTTTATGAATTTCCATTGTGTTTTTTTTCCCCCCTGGTGGCTGCAGTAGGTTGTTTACATTCCCATCAATACTACATGAGGTTTCCAACGAATCCACATCCTCACTAACACTTCTTATTTTCTGTTCTGGTCATCCTGATTGATGTGAAATGATACCTTGTCGTTTTGATTTTTATTTCCCACATAATTAATGACATTGAATATCTTTCCATATGTTGGTATGTCTTTTTTGGAGAAATAACTACTTATCCTTTGTTTTGTCAAGTTGTAGAAGTTTCTGCTATATCCTGGATATTAACCTCTCATCAGATAACATGGTTAGGAAATAAGTTATTTTATCTACTTTTGAAACTTTCTTTTTGTTCTAACTTCACATGATAGCCTAGATCTTACTATTCCAGATAGTTAGATTGAAATTTGTTCTTGTTTTGTTTTGTTTTTCTTTTATAATCCTGGGAATAGCACCCAGGGCATTTTGTATGCTAGGCAGGCACTCTACCACTGAGCTATTTCATCAGGTCTTGTTTTTTTCAAGACAATCTGGGTTGAAATCTTGCCTCTGCTACTTACTAGCTGTAAGTAAGAGCATGTCACTTAACATTTCTATGCATCACTTTATCTGTAAAATGGGGAAATAGTTATAAATAGTAAACAAAATATATTAGCTGTACTTATAAACATTATTGTACTTCTTGAAATAATTCATAAATAAGTTATGCTAATATATACTCATATCTAATAAATGTTTTAAAAAATTGGAATTGTTAAAAATTCTAACTACAAATATCTCATCTTTTCATTAAAGGGAGACTTATAAATTTCAGTATTGTTGATACAAACAAATCATAGTTGATTTTTTTCTAGATGCATACTTTTCATTTACTTGAAGTATTTCTCATAATTAGCTCAAATCCCTGTGATTTTTATGAAAAGGTTATACTACTTATATTATTATATTATATTACTGTGATTTTCATATTTCTAGGCAGCATCCAATTTAAAGTCTATGACTTTAGCTTCTAAGTCCTTAACCACTATACTCTATTTTCCCTTTCCTAAACTAGTAAATAAGATTTCATGTGACTGGTATGTCAAATTTTCATCATAAGCAGGAGTACAACATTAAAATTCCATTCATAATAGATAATTTCTGAAAAACCATCCCTCTCATCCCACTCTCCATGGCAGAATACTGACCTATGTGTACCTTTTTTCTGACCCATTAAATTATTTATGTTCCTATTTTTTTCAGTGGATGATTCAACAGCCGCACAAAGCAGCAACATTTTTTGGATGCATTGGGATAGATAAATTTGGGGAGATCCTGAAGGGTAAAGCTGCTGAAGCCCATGTGGATGCTCATTACTATGAGCAGAATGAGCAACCAACAGGAACTTGTGCTGCATGCATCACTGGTGACAACAGGTCAGTGTGAATCGGAAAAGCACTGTACTAATTGACTATGTAAACAGTCGGAATTTGCAGTTCAGACTTCGTGTTTATAATCACTTTTAATGTGATGGCATGTACATTAAAAGTGATTTTTTCCTTTTGCACTTTTAAGTGTACTTTTATTTAACCTGCTTTTGAATTCATGAAATATAATGGAATGAAAATTTGAGCTTATCTAGTCTAGTCTCTGCCTTGTATAATTAGGCCCAGGAAAGTAAAATGTTTTGCTCAATGTCTTAAAAGTTGACAATAAAGTTGCCCTACAAGAAAAGAATGATCTCAAAACCTGACATTGAAATATTAAAATCTATAATATGTGTATGCATGAAGCATAATACTCTATTACTTCCAGTCTCATATGAATTAGGTTAACTAAAACATGTCTGGCAAATATTCATCCATCAATGTTAAACAACTTCAGTTATGGTTAATGTACCACTCAAGAACCAACCATGCCAGGCATGATGGTGCACGCCAGTAAGGCCAGTACTTGTGAGGCTTAGGCATAAGTTCAAGGCCAGCCTAGACATAACATGACACCCTGTCTCAAAAAAGAAAGAAACAATCAAGAAAGTGTTTTAATTGTTCAAAATAGCACAATATAATGCCATGCTATCGTGATACTGAGTTGTAGGGGTTACTCTATATTGGATGAACAGTAGTACTGTTCTCACAAATAAGAGAAATCAAAGGGTGCTTAGGAAAAGGGATTGAATGGGGGAAGAGAGAGAACAGTGGGACATGGTAAGTGGGCCCAAGGTGACTAAATCTGACATTTTTCACAGTGAAGTAACTATTATACAACAAACTAGAACTCCTGTGTGGTGTGTGCCAGAGATGGGGAGATTGCCCACTACCATATCTATCTTCAGGCAGAAATGAAGAGTTTGAAAAATTATCTACTCATTTTAAATCCTTTGATAACCTGCTTACAAAACCTTGTTTGTTGCCTAAATTTTGGATGTGGGGCAGAAAAATTCCAAACAGAGTCCTAAGCCCTGGAGAAGATTGTCCCAGCCATGGGACACTAAAAAATTCAGAGTTGGTGGCTGGTGCTGTCAAACAAATACATATTATATATATATAATTTTTCAAAAATTTTTTGAAGGGGGAGTGGTACTGGAGTTTGAACTCAGAGCTTCATGCTTGCTAGGCAGATGCTCTACCACTGTGTTGGGTATTTTCAAGACATGGTCTCATGAGCTATTTGCCCAAGCTGGCTTTAAACCGTGATCCTCCTGGTCTCTGCGTCCTGAGTAGCTGTGATTATAGGCATGAGCCAGCTGAAACAATCATGTTTTTTAGACAACTTTATTTACTAGAAAATTATTCTTTATCTGAACCTGTTATGTATCTCTTAGGACCTTCTATACATTGGTTTTATTTGTTCTTTTGTAGCTGCATGGCGGTATTCGTTCAATACGTACTTCTGTTGCTACCATTATTGCCCTATTAGTATAGGATTTTTCCTCTTTTGCAAGAAAATACAAAGTAACTGTCCTACTGATAATATTGTTAGAATCATCAAAGATATCCCATTTTCAAATTATGATTCAGTAGGAATTTTGCATCCTTGTAGTTGGGAATATGTGGTCTCTCTTCCCTTATTCCTGTGTAGTGTTCCACCCCCTTTTCCCCCCATTGCCTTACCCACTTCCTTTATTTTTGCTTATTGCTTGATCCCCAGCAGATGTATATTAATGATATGACACACTCTTGGATACTGAGGATTAGTGTGGACAGTAGTCATTAAATAAGTAAAGTCTAACTTTCACTAATTAGAATAGTAGAGCCATTTTCAGACCTCTCTTTTGTTGGAGAATTTTTTGATTTTAGGGTTTCAAAAATTTAAACGATTATTCAGGCATTAAAATCTGCTTTTTTATAACTTTACCCTTTTCAGTTTTCCTAAAAGAAACTTTAATCTACAGGTGCTGTGTTTTTTCCATTAGTGAGAAATGGGTCAAGTATTGCCTCTGATACCACTCAGACTAAAGTAAAATTGCTCAGAGACAAGACAACTGTCTTGGTATGCTGAATTGCTATTTTAAATTGCAGTTATAATATTAGATCTCTTATATGGCAGAAATTTAATTTGTATACCAATATTATGGTTATGGTTATCAGTATTGTTCAGACGGTATGGGAAGCCAGAAACTGGGAGATAACTCTCACTGTCTAACTCATTATCCCAATTCTGGAACATAACAGAATGATAAGGCTAGTAATCAGAAACTAGTTTTATTATCAAATCAAACTTTATTAGCTAATATCAGAAGCATTTGTGTTTTTTTTATGTAGCCATTTTAATCAAAACTTTCCTAAAGTCATGATTATTAAAATACTTTAACGAATATTCAATCTCTGGCACTCCCCAAAAATGATTAATTTTGCCTAAGTTTGCAATATAGTTATTTTGCATATGTGTATATTTATGCATCTTTCTTTCATTTTCCTTCATTTAACTGAGTATAAACATATGTATCATGCAGTAGTAAATTGGCATATATTGGTGAGTAGAAATACATTTTACAAGAGAATTGAATTTTTTTTTTCTTTTAAGCACAGTAACTAAACATTACAAAAATCTCAAATGATGAGATGATTCTTTTTATAAGCCACAGCTGTTACTATTTAATTAACAAAAGAGAAAAATTTGCAGGTATTTTTGTATAGTCCAGGTTTGAATGAGAATGAAAGCTATTTATATTTATTTATATGAAATACAACTAATTGCTTTCATTTCATTAAGTTTAGTTTTTGGCTTATAATTAAACGATCTTTGTGGAACTTGTAGCAAGATTTTAAATACAGTATACTGCTTACATTTTCTAGATGTAAAATTGGACCCAGCCTATGGAATTTTTAGCTATAGAAACTAATTATACTTGATTCCAGTCCTTAAGATGTAATAGTTTGCAAATTTATTCCTCCCAGTAAATATGGTCTACATTCATATGTATGTTTTATGAAATTCATTTCATACTTGGCTTTAAAGCATTACATTAAATAGCCAGTTACAATTGTTGATCTTATTTTTATAAAGTTATTTTCCACCGTAAAAATGAAGTTTTTGGTTACATATATTTCCCTTTGCAGAATGATTTAGTAGCTTTATTTCTTTACCACATTTTGAACTATGAAAATGTACAAGATTTTAGTTTCAAAACTTAGATGTCAGTTTCTTTTTTTTTTTTTTCATTTTTCTTTTATTATTCATATGTGCATACAAGGCTTGGTTCATTTCTCCCCCCTGGCCCCACCCCCTCCCTTACCACCCACTCCGTCCCCCCTCTCTCCCCCGCCAATACCCAGCAGAAACTATTTTGCCCTTATCTCTAATTTTGTTGTAGAGAGAGTATAAGCAATAATAGGAAGGAACAAGGGTTTTTGCTGGTTGAGATAAGGATAGCTATACAGGGCATTGACTCACATTAATTTCCTGTGCGTGGGTGTTACCTTCTAGGTTAATTCTTTTTGATCTAACCTTTTCTCTAGTTCCTGTCCCCTTTTCCTATTGGCCTCAGTTGCTTTAAGGTATCTGCTTTAGTTTCTCTGCGTTAAGGGCAACAAATGCTAGCTAGTTTTTTAGGTGTCTTACCTATCCTCCCCCCTCCCTTGTGTGCTCTCGCTTTTATCATGTGCTCATAGTCCAATCCCTTGTTGTGTTTGCCCTTGATCTAATGTCCACATATGAGGGAGAACATACGATTTTTGGTCTTTTGGGCCAGGCTAACCTCACTCAGAATGATGTTCTCCAATTCCATCCATTTACCAGAATGATAACATTTCGTTCTTCTTCATGGCTGCATAAAATTCCATTGTGTATAGATACCACATTTTCTTAATCCATTCGTCAGTGCTGGGGCATCTTGGCTGTTTCCATAACTTGGCTATTGTGAATAGTGCCGCAATAAACATGGATGTGCAGGTGCCTCTGGAGTAACAGTCTTTTGGGTATATCCCCAAGAGTGGTATTGCTGGATCAAATGGTAGATCGATGTCCAGCTTTTTAAGTAGCCTCCAAATTTTTTTCCAGAGTGGTTGTACTAGTCTACATTCCACCAACAGTGTAAGAGGGTTCCTTTTTCCCCGCATCCTCGCCAACACCTGTTGTGGTGGTGTTGCTGATGATGGCTATTCTAACAGGGGTGAGGTGGAATCTTAGTGTGGTTTTAATTTGCATTTCCTTTATTGCTAGAGATGGTGAGCATTTTTTCATGTGTTTTCTGGCCATTTGAATTTCTTCTTTTGAGAAAGTTCTGTTTAGTTCACTTGCCCATTTCTTTATTGGTTCATTAGTTTTGGGAGAATTTAGTTTTTTAAGTTCCCTGTATATTCTGGTTATCAGTCCTTTGTCTGATGTATAGTTGGCAAATATTTTCTCCCACTCTGTGGGTGTTCTCTTCAGTTTAGAGACCATTTCTTTTGATGAACAGAAGCTTTTTAGTTTTATGAGGTCCCATTTATCTATGCTATCTCTTAGTTGCTGTGCTGCTGGGGTTTCATTGAGAAAGTTCTTACCTATACCTACTAACTCCAGAGTATTTCCTACTCTTTCTTGTATCAACTTAAGAGTTTGGGGTCTGATATTAAGATCCTTGATCCATTTTGAGTTAATCTTGGTATAGGGTGATATACATGGATCTAGTTTCAGTTTTTTGCAGACTGCTAACCAGTTTTCCCAGCAGTTTTTGTTGAAGAGGCTGCTATTTCTCCATCGTATATTTTTAGCTCCTTTGTCAAAGACAAGTTAGTTATAGTTGTGTGGCTTCATATCTGGATCCTCTATTCTGTTCCACTGGTCTTCATGTCTGTTTTTGTGCCAGTACCATGCTGTTTTTATTGTTATTGCTTTGTAATATAGTTTGAAGTCAGGTATTGTGATACCTCCTGCATTGTTCTTTTGACTGAGTATTGCCTTGGCTATTCGTGGCCTCTTGTGTTTCCATATAAATTTAACAGTAGATTTT